AGCAATCCCACGATGCCGCCTTCCAGCCGAGCCTCTTGAGAGTCATGACCACTGCGCCTGCTGGCCCACGTACGCTCCGCCATGTACCACAGTTATTCTGCGCCTGCATGAATGCCAAAGCCATAGCCCGATCCTTGACCCAATGTCCGTGTAAAGCCCTGATCCAATACACAAGTGGGTACCCATCCGCCGCAAACGTGGGATCCGTTCTAAGACAATGCGAAAGCTGAAACTCCATGGTCCTGCACCTTCCACAAGCCGTTCCAAACAAAGCATGTCCAGCGATGCTTCTTACCTGCTTCAACTGGGTGTCTGACATGCCTTTCACCTTCACAGTATAAGTCACTGAGGCCAAGCCTCCACCACGAAACAACCTTCCCATTTGCCGTCCTCCCAGCGCCAATCGTCGGTAGCGTGAAATTCGCTTTGACGTAGCCAGGGCGCGAGTCTGCTGCACCACTCCACCTGGGCCTCGTCGTAGTGTCCGATCATGCCCAAGCTGTCGCACCGTGCGGTGCCGCCTGAACTTGTGTTGCTTAAGGGCCGTCTCTATCTGCTTCTCCAACTCCGTGCTGGTCGCGATGACATGCCCCTTATTCGGACTCAGCTCTAGACCTAAGCCTACCAGCTCCTTGCACAACCTTCTCGCAGCAGGAATGAGGACCTTTATAACTTGATCATGAGTTCCTGTAGCCTACAAACTCCCATCATCCACCACCTGTGTAAGACTGAGAGACGGCCACAGCGTATAGACCTGCTCGTACGCTCCCATTGTGAAGAGCATCATCATAGTAGTAGCAAACCCACGCCCAGCTATAACTCCGTGATTCGTCTTCACCGTCTCTGAGACCATGTTACCATACCTAATCATGCGCCCACCAGCATACGATTTGAGAAGCAGGGCCAGACGTGATCGCTTGAAACCGTGCCTGCACCCGACTGCCCATAAAGTCGCATGCTGGATCTTCTCGAAAGCTTTCTTCAGGTCTAGCATCACAGTTGCCGTATGCCTTTTGAGCGCTAGACCAGCTTCAGCCAGGAGTGACTGTGTCCACACCGCCTGCTCGGAGCTGCGTCCTGCCACCGCGTAGTGATAGTCCTTGACATTTCTGTCGAGCCGCTCCTGCTGGTCAACCTTATGGCACTAGGTGTAGACGCGTAGAAGGTCAGGTAGGAGCCCAATGAGTCTATGCCCTCCTTCAGGCTTCGGCAACCTCGGCATGATGTTGTGGGTGAGCTGCGGGGGCAACTCCCCAGTGACCTCCGCCTTCTGCGTGATTTTTGCAAAGGCCGTGAGCGCGTCATCAGAGAGCAAGGCAGCATTCTTCGGACCCAGGTTGTCAATGCCCGAGGCCGTATTCACTTTGAAAGTTGTAGCCACCATCCGTATGTGATCACTGGTCAACAACTTCACCTCCCGCTCAATAGTTTGTAATCGTAGCCCTGCTCCAAAACTTCGCTCTCCATCACGGTGCCTCCAGACGTGCTTCCACTCCTCCAAGTCCGCCTGTAGACGTGCCGCATGTGACTGCACACCTTCCGTGGGATGAATGTCGGCCTGCATCCACATCGTGGGTAACTTTGACCATCTGTGTGCCTGCTTGTCGCCCTTCTCAATTACCTCAGCAATCAACTTCCTCCACTGCTTGGCGCGGCTGTTTGCAAACCTGACCTCTATAGCAGTGGCCACCTGGGCAGCGCTCCAACTTGCCTCTCGCAGCCAGTCGTCGTTCCAACTGAATTCATGGTCATACCTGTAGCACCAGATCTTCATATTCTTCATGGTATTGAACCTGTCTTGAATAAACTTGCAATAGTGCGCCCATCCTCGCTTGCATGCATGTAGACGATCCACCATAGCCATTTAAGCACGTCTCCAGACTCTGGATGTCGGGTTACCTTGCGGTGATCGTCCTGGCGCCTTTCTAACCGATGCCACCAGCTTGAAATCGGGATCCGTAGATTGCGCTCGACCTCGACATGCTTTACCGTGCCTATCATCAAGCTGAAACCGTTGTACGAGTTCACCCTCAGCCAACGCATGCCACTGTGCAAAGCACCATTGGAGGTCTCCTTTGTCTTGGACAGTCACATTCACCAAGAACTTGCAGATGTGAAGGTGGAGGCGGTGGTGCTCCTAGCGGGCATACCTTCGGAAGCTTACTGGGTATTTTGAGCTGCTGTTCGAGCGCTGCACCTGTCCCAACACGTAGTGGAAGTCGGACTCCCCAGTGCGTCGCAATCGAAAGCCCCTCTATCCTTGAGACATCCGTGATAAGGCCCTTGAAATGCTTGCTAACGACAAAGTAATCCAGCACCCTGCCTTCACCACATGCGCAAGTCCATTGCGTTGGTGCCGCTATCATCGCAGGCACTTGTGGTAGGATATTGAGGTCGTTGAGTTCTTGAGGAGTCATGTTCCAATCGCCACCTATTATGAAGGGCCTGCCAAGTCTCTGTAACTGCTCCATCGCCAACAAAATGATCCGCTTGTTAGAATCTTCAGATTCACGCACTTTGTGCCCAGATATCAGGTAGATTGAAGCAAGAATGAAACCTCCTGGCAGCATCCCATCAACCCACTGCATCGCCCATCGCCACTGTGGTACACCAACACCTCCAAGATCAGGTCGTATAGCAGAGGCGATATCCTGTCGCACTCCAACTGCCACTCCAGAACTAGCTGCATGTCCTTCACCTTTTGACGCCGGTGGGATATGACAATTCCATCCTTGATGTTGTAGCCTTTCTCGCGCATCACCAATGTTTGCCTTGAGAATCTTATGCTCCTGGTACAAGATGCCATCCGTATTGGGAAAAAGCTCCGTGATCTCTGTGGTTACCATACTCATCTTCACCGCCTCCTTCTGCGCTGCCGTAATATTCACTGTGACAAAGGTCCAGTCACGCTCGTGCCGCGCAACTTCGGAGACAGGAAGCACAGAAGTCACCTTGCCGCCCCCGTCTCGAAAACCATGTCCGTGATGCTCTTGGGCGGTGGTGCCTCCTCTGCACTCCCTTGCGAGGGCTGTCCACCCGTCGGTGGACTCACAGGGCGGATCGCCTCTGATCTGGGCATCGACCACCTGCCCGTCGGCAGCCAGATCAGAGGGTTCAGCGCCACCGCCAGTACGTACACGTAGTGCATGTGTGGTGGTGCCTCCTCTGCACCCCCCTGTGGGGTCTGACCTCCCGTCGGAGGACCCACAGGGCGGATCGCCTCTGATCTGGGCATCGACCACCTGCCCGTCGGCAGCCAGATCAGAGGGTTCAGCACCACCACAGGTAACTGATTACCATCCAATCCCAAGCCGTCGCACACATGCATGAAATCCTTCACCAAGACGTGAAACAGCCCACAGCTGTCCACTCCAAGAGCCCCGTCACAGGGCCCACTGCTACCACAGTGTGCGCCCAAGAAGCCGTTGCCCATAGAAGCTCGCCCATCCACCATTGTATCCAGTGTCCCGTGTATCTGTTGAAGTAGGTAGAGTAGTCGCCCCCAGTCACCATGTCCACGACGCGCACGATCACTTGTGACCTGCTTGTTCATGTCCTGGAACTGGGGGCTGCATTTTCCTCCGCTTTGCCACGGCGGCAGCGTTGGCAGCGGCCATGATCTCGAGCATGCGGCTGCGGGCTGCCTTGATCCGCTTCCGCTCCTTGTCAGAGTCAACCCCGTCCAGCTTGATACCTGCCTGTTCGAAGAGTTCTTCGTAGTCAGCCTCATCTGGTACTGGAATGTCAGCAGCCATAGGCACATCACCATCAACAGCTTCAGGCTGACCAGCCAAGATCGCGGCCTCGCGCTCGGCCTTCTGCATTTGCTGCTCGCGCTCCGCCAGCTGCTTGTCCAGCGTGTCGAGTGCCTTCTGCAGGGCTTGCAGGGGTCCTGCCAGCTCCTCGGGAAGGTCAGCCTTGCCCAAACGCTTCTGCAGGTTGGCCACCTGTCCGCACAAGGCAACTGCGGGGTGTCCAGCTGCTGCGTGTCCTCCTTCGGCTGCTTCTCGCATGAAAGCTGCCGCCTGCGCATCCTTGATCTTCTGCTTCCTGGCCTCGTGGTTCCGTACGATGTCCTGCTCTGCGTCACGGGCCGCAGTGGCTGCCTGCAGCTCCTCCTCTCGCTCGCGTAGTCGCTCTCTTGCCTTCTCCAGCTTCTGGTTGACGCCCAGCGTGCGCTGCCCCAGCTGGAAGGGAGACATGTTGTCGTAGTCGGGCATCTGATGAGCCTCTTCGTCTTTGGGCTCGGACTGCCGCACCGCCTTGTCCCAAATGACGACCAGGGCTTTGCTGTCCGCGGGCCAGTTCGCCCTGTCCTCTCCATGCGCCTTGGCCATGCTCTCCAACATGGTCTTGGCGGTGGCGGGATCGGTCTCGACGATCTTGGCGTCCTCGCCGAGGGCAGCAGCGGTGCGAGTCGGAGGTGCCTCCCCATTGCGCTGCTCCCCACGCCCGAGACGGGGCGGGCCAGCCGCCCAGCGGTTTGGCCTCTCTGGCTTTGCTCCCCCATTGCCCGTCCTCCAAGGCCAACTGTTCTGGCTCTGGTTGCTGCGCGGGGCGGCCTTGCCACATCGAAAGCAGTGCGCCCTGAACCCGTAGTTCTCGAACGCCACGCCATGCAGCCGCGCACAGTTGCCGCACGCCCACGCCTTGCCCATCCGCCGCGGGCGCGCCCGCTTGTGGCCTGTCAGGAGGGAAACGAGACAAAACTTGGCCCGCACGCGCGAGCCGCTCTGAAGCACGCGCGTGCAAGCACAGGATCGCCCCCTGTGCCAGAACGGCTGGAAGAGGAGTTGGAGGAGGAGGAAGAGGAGGAGTCAGAGGTGGAGGAGAAGGAGGACGATAAGGAGGAGGAGGAGGAGGAGGAGGAGGAGGAGGAGGAGGAGGAGGAGGAGGAGGAGGAGGAGGAGGAGGAGGACGAGGATGAGGACGAGGAGGATGACAGAGGACACCTGACATAGGAGAGAGGAACGAGGCGGGGAGGAAGACCTTGGTGGAAGGCGCGGCAGACAGCCGTCCCGGGGGAGTTCCTCCCCAAGTACGATTGGCCTGTCCACCGCTTCCAGAACATGGTCGTGCTCCTGCTTATCCTCCGCCTTCTCATCTCCACCTCCCTGCCCTCCCCCCCTCCGCCTTTTCTCCCCTCATGCTCCCCTGCCTCTTTGTCCTCCCGGTCTCTCCCCTTCCTCTCCGCCTTCCTCTCCCCCTCTCTTCCCCCGCTTCTCCCCATCGCCCTCTTTCTAGCTCTCGTTCGAGCTCGATCTCCTTATCTTACGTCCCCTCGTCCTGCCTTCTCCTCCTTCTCCGCCCCCTCTTCTCCTTCTTCTCCGCCCCCTCTTCTCCTTCTTCTCTTCCCGCTCCTTGCCCGTTTCCACGACGTCGCTTCCGTTCTCCCTCCTCCTCGTCCTCCTTAACCTTTTTTCGCCTCGCCTTTCTCCTTCTCCTCCTTTCTTTTCCTCGCTCTTCTCCTTTTTAGCCCCTCCCTGTCCGTCTCCTCATCTTCCTCTCCCTCTTTTTTTTGTTCTCTCCTCCTCCTCCTCCTCCTCCTCCTGCTTCTCGTCTTCCTCCTCTGCTCCATCTCTGGCTCCGCCGCACCCGTCCCGTTCCGGTGGTGCGAGCTCGCGCCAGCCTCCCTGCCTCTGCTCATCCTTCCTCGCCTCCGGCACGCAGGCCCCGCCAAGGCTCTGGGAGGGGCGCCCGCGCCGCTCCGCGGCAGAGCGGCTCTCGCGCGCAGGCACGCGCAGCGCAGTGCCCCCCGAGGGCCTCCGACGCCTTGCAGCACGGGGGCTTCTGCGCCACGCGCTTGGGGGCCGCAGTGCAGGCCGCGTTCAGCACAGGCCGAGGCCGTACTTTTGAGGGTGTTCCTGCTCACCCTTTCGCTGTCGCTTCTCTGGACGGGCCTGGAGGTGTGAGTTCTCGTGCTGGAGCTGACGGTCCTCGTGAAGGTGCCCCTGAGTCCGCTCATCATGCCGCTCCTCCTGCTGAAGGCCAGGTCGCGAGCATGGCAGCCGCTGTTCCGGCCGCCACTGCTCGTCTTCTTGCAGTCACTCGCGCTGCTCGCGTGGCGCATTCCCCTGGTGCTGCTCACCATGACGCTCCGTGCTCAGCGTCCTACTGCTGGACCCCAGAGTGCCGAGTCATAGGCTGGCGGCGCGGATTTGTGGGCGGCCGCGGCGCTTGCACGTGCCAGCGACCCATGTGAACCCGAGTGCTGGGCAAGCGGAAGGGTGCGCCAGTTCGGCCCGCCAGCATGTCCCGCGTGTGCCGCCGCGGATCGCCAGCGCGAGTGGCACGATAGGTTCGCCACTTAATGCACTGCGTCTTGTGCTTCACCCTTTTCTTCTCGGATCTGCCTCTTTGGAGGCAGGCCAATCGAGCATTCCGCATCCAGTATCCTCCTCTGCCTCCTTGTTCTGCTTGTCCTTGTCCTCCTCGCTCCCCTCCTCCTCCCCCTCCTCGTCCGCTCCTCCCCTCCTTCGCTCCTCCTCATGATTTTCCTGCCGTCTCATTATCTCAAGACTCCGAAGCACTCGTTCATATTTCATTCCTTCTCCAGTCCGTCTCATTCTTTAAGCTCGGTCATGCTTCATTCCTCCTCCTCCTTGTGCTGCCCCTTCCTCCTCGTGCGAGTCCTCCTCCTCCTCCTCCTCCTCCTCCTTTCCCCCTCCCCCTCCACCGACCCCGCTCCTTGTGATCAGCCCTCGTCGTTGCACCAGATTGCGTGTCGGGAGGGCGGTCTGGCCGGTTCGCCCGAGACGTCATCGCACATTTCATGATCCCAGAGATCGAGGCTGTTTCTGGCAGTTGGCGCGGGCGGTCGGCGGGTCGTTTTCAAAACCTTGTTGTCGCTTGCACCGGTGGGAGGCGATAAACAAAACACGCAAGTGCGAGAAAGCAACCGCTCAAGTGCGGTAAGGACACTCGAGTGCGATTCAGTGCGATACCACACTTTTGTTCGCAGTTTGTGATCGCGTTTTTTGTAATGCCTTATCATTGTGATTTCCAGGATTCTTTGGGGGTGCTTCACTTCCAGGTCAGACGCTCGCCACAGGCTTCCTCGCATTGGATGGCTCTAGAGCTCGCCTTTGCCAGCATTTTTACGGATGCTTGGTGGTAGTTTTTCAATTGTTTGCTCTCGCCTGAGACGTTTGCGTCCATTTGATTTGTGAGACTGATAGTCTGCAGCAGCTACACAGATGGAGGGCGGCTCTTTTTTCATCGTGCTCTGGCTTCGGCGCCGCGCACACTTGTTGTAAAGCGTCCACCATCTACGTTGGTTGAGGGCGACCCCCTCTCAAGCACATCGTGTGTTGTAGCGTTGCGCGGTATATGTTCAACTTGCGCAGTAGTGCCTGAGCAGCGCCGATTGGTTTCTCACGATCCAGGTCGCGCTGCCCTCACCTTTCTGGCGGGCGCACGCGCTAGTGACAGCAAATAACTGCATGAGCCTGTGAGGAGGGGACTCAGGATAGGATGATGTTTTGCAGCGTCAGTGTCGTGCGCTGGATTTACTCCGATCCTCCTCACTCTCTTCCTTCTGCACGCCCTTCCTACTCCCTTCCACCTCCCTGCCTCTCCTCTCTTCCCTCCCTGTCCCTTCGCCCCCAACCTCTCCTTTCTCATCCCTTCTTCCTCTTACCCCCTCCTTCCTCCTCTCCCTCCTCTCCTGCCCCTCTTCCCCTCTTCCCCCGCCACCTCTTCTTCCCCATTCCCTCTCTGTGCCTGCCTACCCTGTCTCCCTCTTCCTCCTCCCCCTTCTCCTCCTTCTCCTCCTCCTCCTCCTCCTCTTCCTCCTCGTCCTCTTCCTTACAAAGTCCGTAGCCAGTTTGGCTCAAGGTCATGGTTCCACCGTGGAATGAAGTGGAGACCTCTAGTCCGATGCAGGCAAGGCAGTTCTGCCTTGCCTTGTTTGTTGGCCTTTACTGTGGGACTTGGGCCCCACACTAGCCCCTCTTTCTTTCTTTCTTTCTTTCTCTCTCTCTCTCTCTTTCTCTCTCTCTCTCCGTTCCGTTCACCACTGGCAGTCGCGCCAGTGGGTAATTTGTGGGGTCTCCAGTTCCTGCTGGCGCGGGTGCGATGCCAGCAGGCGGCCATCGTGCGAAGAAAAGCTCGGACGAGAAGGGGACCCCGCGGCGCCGCCGTGCTGCATCCAATGGCTCGGGTGGATCTGAGACACCTGCAGCGACTCCTTCGCGCCGTGGTCGTGGTGGACATCGGCAGTATGTTGATGATGACGTTCGTGCTCCTGCTGCTGCGGCTGCTTTCGCCTCTCCTGAAGCATCTGTTCGCTTTCGCAGTGCACCTGGTGACGGCTCCCACTTTCAGCTGGTCACTCGCACTGGCTCCATGGCAAAGTTCACCGTCGGCGAGCTCACGCACACGGCTTGGGATGCTGCCACTACTACCCCGTCTCAAGAAATTGAATATGTTCGTCGCGCTCATGCTGTTGCCCTTCAGGCTGCTTCAGGTGCTGGTAGTTCGCATGTGGAAGTTTGCCGCATCTGTGGGACTCCTGTTGCTGGCTACGCCACGCCTCCTGCTTCTGCACACGGTGGTGAGTCTAGTGGGCGTACTCCTGGTGCTTTGTGCCCCCGGGCTTCTGGCAACCTTCGTGAGCAGGTGTGGCAGGAGATGGCGGGCGCACATGGTCAGATGTTCAAGGAGTTTCAGGGCTGTTGCCCGCACAAGATGTTCTCAGTTTGCCATGCGTGTATCCAACCGCATCCCCCTGGAGCGTTGGCGATCGCCACGAAGCCTGCTTTTGAGAAGGTTGACAAGCTCATTGATGGCCACATCGCCTCGTTTGGTCGCCGGGTGGATGCCGCTGAGGAGCGTATGCCTGCCGTGGAAGATTGCCAACGCGGCTTGCTTGAGCGGCTAACGTGCTCCGAGGGAGAGCTGGACTTGGCCAAGTCTGCCCCTCCGCGAGCGCAGATGGCTTGGACGGGTGACTTGGATCGTGCGATCGATCCGACGATCTTCGCGGTCAACGCGGAGGATGAGATCAGCCATGCTCATGCTCAAGTGTGCTTGCACAGTTGGGCAGGCAGCTGTGGGTACTCGTTCGGCTCGGAGGTCAAATTGGATGATTTCGTGCTGCGCATGGTCGGGCCGCTTGGGGCCACTATGTTGTCGCGCGGGCGCCACTGCCAAGCGGGGCTTCGGCAAGATAGGCAGTGGCTTTCGTTTGCGGTGCTCGGTCCTGGTGGTCGTCCTATCCCTGTGTATTTTGTCGTGGCAAGAATCGCTGCGACATCGCCGAAGAACGGGCCTGCAAGTCGCTGCGTGCCGCCCTCGGGTCCTCGTATCGACCCCCCCCCCGTACACGATCTACACTCATCGCGATGCTGGCACGCTCACGTGCCAATGGGAGCCTGTCGCCAAGCTCAGTGTCGCTCGAGGCGTGCCGCCCACCGTGCAGTGGAAAAAGAACGGCCCCGGGCCCCGACGGGCTCCCGCTGGCCTCGCGGCGTCGCGGGCAAGCCCCTGCCGTGTCGCCGAAGAACGGGCCTGCAAGTCGCTGCGTGCCGCCCTCGGGTCCTCGTATCGACCCCCCCCCCCCCGTACACGATCTACACTCATCGCGATGCTGGCACGCTCACGTGCCAATGGGAGCCTGTCGCCAAGCTCAGTGTCGCTCGAGGCGTGCCGCCCACCGTGCAGTGGAAAAAGAACGGCCCCGGGCCCCGACGGGCTCCCGCTGGCCTCGCGGCGTCGCGGGCAAGCCCCTGCCGTGCTACACGAAGTGCTCTTGTGGGTTCTTCAGGGCAACATTGTGCCTCCCAGCTTCGGCGCGTTTCTGCAGGTCTGTATCTCGGAACCGTCGGCAAGGGGCGACCCCGCCGCTGCCGGGCTTTCACGTGCGCGCTCCGAGGTTCGCCCGCTCGGCATGACAAGCGGTTCGAACGAGACGGTCGCTGCAGTTCTCTTTCGTGCTCTCTCGCCAGCTGTGCAGTCACCCGCGGCCCGCTCGCAGCGGGGATTTCTGCCCGGCGGGGCTCTCCTGAACAACGTCCAGCATGTCGGGAATCCCACGCGTGCTCCCACGCTCTTCGCCTTTGACTTCTCCCAG